CATGGGAGGCAGCGGGTAAGCGTGGCCGCGTGGGTAAAAGGAGACTAAGTTTATTATCCAATTAGCAGCTAGGGTTTGATAGATGCCAAACATTATTATTTTGATTACATAGTATTCGCAAGTTGGATGTTAGACATGCATATTCATATTTTTTTTTCAAGCTAGAGTAATCCAGCCGAGAGCTTAACTAGATTCTAAGGTGTGAGCAATACTTGCTCGTGAACATGCACGGTGCACATCACATATACTTATGTTTCTGGTACCGACACCGATGCACAATCGCAAGATAAACTAGAAGATAGAATATCGATGGAACTATGTAACCGGAAATTTTGCTTGGTTGAAGAGATTAATTTCAACTTGTCATCAGTAATTAAGTTTAAACCAGATACTGGTTGAAAAATTCTATAATCAAATTGATCAATTATTATTACAAGCTGTCACATCAGATCAGGCCTTCTGCATAGCATTACAAACAAGGGTCATCTAATCTGAACACACTACTACAAAGTGTTACATGCACAAGGTGCCGCGATCAGCAACTCATGTAGGAAGGATTCGGCATGGGCTGCATCCCGGACAATTGCGTATGCATGCCGGCGCCGGAGAACTGACCGTCGAGATGGCCCTCCAAGCCGCACACCTCGTCAAAGGCAAAGAACTCGTTGAAGTTGATGTTCTCTGGCAGCTCGAAATCTAAGGACTCGTCCATCGCGCCGGAGGATGGTAGCGTTGCTGCCACCGGCGCAACGCAACACCACCATCTCCACCGGCGAACTCATGCATCACGCCCGCTGGGGCGTCTTGATCTGAATCTGATGTCGCCCTGACCGGCCCTACTCCGCGGTCTCCGCCGGGCAAGAACCACGAGCGGCCGTTGTCTTGGGAAGAACCCAGCAGGTGATGATCCTCTGTGGCGTTCGCCGCATAACAGTAGCCATCCTCATCTTGAGGGAAAACAGAGTACGACGCTGAAACCTGCTTCTCGAGAAGATCAAGATCTGCTATGGCTTGCCAGGTGGCCGCGCGCGCTCCACCATCGTCGTCGCGGCCGTGATCATCGGGCACCCTCTTGCGCTTCTTGCCATGGCCACTGAACAGAATGCGATACAGCCTGACCGACGACGAGGCCAGATAGGGCGGGGATGTGACCGAGTACTCGTGCATGACCCACCCCGTGCTGCCTCTCTCGCCGTCCTTGTGGAAGTTGAGGTGGTACTTCTTCCAGGTGATCTCCATGCCGCTGTCGGGGACGATGAGCTGCTTGTCATCCACGACGACCTTCTGCCCTTCCCAGCACCCGCCGCCCGCGCAGGTCCGCTTGTTCCGACTCCCCTTGGTGTCGATGGTTTGCCCGTGGGCAAAGAAGAAAGCATCGTCCTCCCGCCCGTGTCTGTTCAAGAGCTCCCATGGCGGCGCGCTCAGAGGATCGTCCTCGAGGATGATGCCCTCCAGCGGGAGCTCCTCGCCAAGGAGTCGACGGAGCAGGTAGTATTCCACCGCCTCGTCGTCGAGAGGCTGCAGCTTGTAGCCCCGCGTGAGGCCCAGCACGTCGGCCGGCTCTACCATGGCGTGCCTGGAATAGATAGCTAGGATTAATGTTGCTAGGGTTTGGATGGATCGGGACTGTGCGGTGCGTGATCGGAAGGTACGTAGGTACGTTTAAAAAAAAAAGAGGATGACCCCGGGCCTCTGCATCTGGGCGATGCATACGGCCACTTTATTAATTATTATCACAAAACCTTACAAAGCCGTACAACAGCAAGACTAAAGCCACCGTCTAAGCAACAACTGTCGTTACACCTATCCAATTGATGAAGGGGCGCAGATAGTCTGGGCCTAGTAACAAACAGACATCGCAACCAAACCTAAACATCTAAGACCTGAGGTCCCAACCAGGACGCCTGCTGGGTATGGGGCACCTACCAGTCCGGCGCACTCCTCAATCAGGACGCCTGCCGGGTATGAGGCCGCCACAGCCACCTGCCACAAATCCATCTTCAGAGCTGTACTGTTGCATGTACCGTGCCAGGTCTCTCTGCCATCGACGCCACCACGACGCCCGACAGCGTCGTCCTCCTGTGCGAGTCCATCATTCCATAGCGAACTCCGAATCTGCACTGCGCCACGCCATCAAGATCCGTCGCCATCAGTGTGTAGGATGAAGCACCGCTCCATCAAAGAATCCGTCCTCTGGTCCCTCGATCACGTGTGTACCTTCAAAAATGACGCCCCAAGGGAGGAACGACACCAGAGCGCCGCCGTCATCCGATCATCCGATCTAGGGTTTCCCCCGGAGGTAGCAGAGAGTAGCCTTGAACTTCTCCACGGCGATGCCTTCAAGAAGGGAACGACGCAGATAGCGCTGCCACCGCCGGCCTTAGCAGAAGCCGAAGGAAAGTTTTCACCCAGATTAGTTCGAAGGAATCCAACTCTCCTGCACGGGCCGCCGTCACCACCAGCACCACCAGGCAGACCCTGGAGTGCCGGCAGATCAGCGAGCCAACGGCACCACCGCATCCAGATCGCCGGCCACGCCGGGCCGCCGCCATCCCCCGCGCCGTCCGGGGTCAGAGACGGAGCTACCGACCAAGCACAGGGACCGCCGCCGCCTGCACATGTCGGAGCGCCGCCGAGATCCCAGCGCCCGCCACCGCTTGCCAACACCAACCGTCGCCCGAGCACTGGCGCCACCGTGGAGCCATCAGATCGGGGAGGGAGACGTCGCGCGCCGACCACCCTCGCGGACCCCGCCGCACGCCCGAGCGCCGGCGCCACCGCGGCGCCATCAGATCGGGAGGAGTAGGAGCCCACGCATCGCCGCCCCGCGCAGACCACGCCGCCGCCATCGCCGCAGCGCCACCAAAGGGGAGCCCTGCAGATCCGCCGGCGGCCCGACCTGCCGCCAAGCCAAGCGCCGCCGCAAGGGCCGGCCGTCCCGCACCGCCCAGGAGCCTCGCGAGGAGGGAGGGAGCCCCGCCGCCGCCGACGCACGCGCGGGCTTTGCCCGGCGGCGTCCCCTAGCGGCGGCGAGGGAGAAGGAAGGCGAAGAAAGGGAGCGGCGGCGGCGATCTAGGATTCCGCCCGGGCCGCTCGCGGGAGCGGCAATACGCTCCGGTCTGGTGCCCGGGCGTACGCGCGGTCTAGTACGTACGTCTGATATTTATTATCCCCGGCCGCCCGGTGAGCAGATAGAACAGACTGCCATACGTATTCGGTCGATCACGTTGGAACTCGGATCCGCATGGAAATTACTAGCGGAGCCAACAAGACAAGGAACCACTGGAAAACGCTACTAGGGTTCCGCAACATGCATGATTTTAATATAGCTATGCTATCCAGGGAAATATGGAGACTCATCCAACGCCCGAACTCTCTCTGTGCTAAGGTATTGCAGGCTCGGTATTTTCCGAATGGCCAGATTCTAGATGCTGCTCCTAGGGACGGTATCTCCTACTCCTGGTGCAGTCTACTTCACGGGCTACACCTTTTCCGGGAAGGGTATATTTGGAGGATTGGCGATGGTACTCAAGTAAAGATTTGGTCTGATTTGTGGATACCTTGGCCCTGGTCACGACGAGTCTTGACCCCCAAAGGGCAAAATCTCCTGGAGCGAGTTTGTGACCTCATCGATCCAACTACCGGACAATGGGACGAGCAACTGGTGAGAGACACCTTCTGGGCTGATGACATCAAACATATTCTCCACATACCGCTACGAGAGGGGGTCCAAGATTTCATTGCATGGCAGTACGATACCAAGGGTGTCCACTCCGTCAAAAGTGCATACAAACTCCAGCGTCAGCTCGAGCAAAACATGATGAATGGTGGTGTGGGGGGAAGTGATCCGAACCCTGGCAATCTGGACAGTGCTAAGGACGATTGCTGGAAGCGTCTTTGGAAGATGCCTTGCCCGAAAAACATCCAAATGTTCACTTGGCGGCTTAAACATGAATCCCTCGCTTTTCGCACAAATGTAGTACGCAAGGGTTATTGGAGTAATCCAAACATATGTTGGGTTAATTAAAATTAGTATTGTTGCAATCAGGCTTGCCGGTTATTAATGTATTGAGTCTGGTTAAGTCTAAGCATGATTAGGGTGACCGATGTTTACGTCAGTTCGGCAAGTTGCCGTACAGTTTGGAAAGTTTTCATGTGAATGCCTGATCATGTACGAGTTGTACTAGCTGGTTTAGGAATTAGTATAGTTGCGTCAGTTGATTGATTTAGGAAAGCGTCCGTGTACGAGTTAGCTAGCTATATTAGTACATATACGTGTCTTAGTAGGGTTCCTAAAGCTTGTCAAGGTTGAGTCGGTTTGAGTCATGGCTGGTACGTGTATATATGTACAGCCTAGGGCGTACGTTGTAATCAAGAGAAAAAAGAGAAAAGCAATAAAGAGAGGAATTAGAGGGTGCGAGACGCACCCTTGGCTATCCACTTTTGTGCGCGTGCGTTCGTGCAGTTTGATGTGATCGATCCTGTGGAAGAATTTTCAACAATTGATATCAAAGCAAGGTCGAGATGAAGCTGCGCTTGCCCCGGGGTGGCGACCAGATTAGCACCTCGGGGCGGGCAATACATTCGCTGGTGTAGCAACGAAGAGCGGCAGGCGATTTAGTCGTTGGTGTAGCGACAACTAGAAGCGAGCGATATAGTCGCCGGGATGCAGCGACGAGGAGGAGCAGGCAATTGTCGCTCGAGCGGTGACAAGGAGGATCGTGCAGTTGTTGTTCGGCGGGGCGGTGACAAGAAGGCGGCGAGGACGGAATGCCAATAATTGGTATCAGAGCAATTACCTAGGATCAGCGTGCAAGTTATTAGACTAGGAAAGTACCTAGTACGTACTAATACTTGGAGTAGTATGAGTTCTGGCGAGTTCATATATGGTGGACCCAATCGCCGACACAAAATGCTTGTTCGGTGGCAAGGCTGATGAGGACGGAGCACACCTGTTCATAAAATGCAAGTCGGCAAAGGAGGTGTGGAGAGACCTAGCCATGGAGAAGGAACGCATGGAGCCGGAGACTATTACGTCTGTGCATGTGATGATAGATTATCTCTGGGGTCTAGATATTAAAAAGCGGCTACATGTGCTCACCTTTTGGTGGTTGTGGTGGTTAAATGGGAACAAACTCAAAGAAGGAAAAATGCCTCTTGCGGCTGCAGAAGTGGCTAGATGGACCAGGAGCAATGTTCTCGAATATCTGCACATCTTCGGGGAAGCAGCTGACAAGGCAACCCCAGAGAGATGGCGACCTTCGGTGGAGTCTGATTATAAGATAAATGTGGACGGCTCTTTTGTTCCTGGTCAGCACCACGCCGGGTGGGGAGTCGCAGTAAGATCAAAAGAGCGCATCCTGCTATGTGCTCGGGCAGGGAGGAGTGACAACGTAAGCGATGCTTTTGTTGCTGAAGCCGTAGCTATGTCCCACGCGATCAATAGGGCTGTCGACCTTGGTCTGGTACAAGTAGAGCTTGAGACGGACTCGCAACTACTGGCTGAGGCGTTGGACTTGCGCAAGGTGGATTCTTTGGCGTACGCAGCTGTGATCAAGGACATGAAATACCAATTGAAGCTCTGATTCTCTCATTTTTCTATCTCTGTCTGTTGACGTAGCGCGAACTCGGTCGCTCACGAACTGGCTAACCTTGGTCGTTTGTGTGAACCTGACTACTGTATGCAGTGGGAAGCGATTGTACCTGCCCGAGTGGATGAATGTATTTTGGCGATCTGCCCGCACGTTGAGTAATAAAGCCATGTTGCTTTCAAAAAAACGTGCACACTTAAGGGCACGCACGCGTATGCATGAGACGCGTATACATGGTGGTATGGACTTTGCAAGATGACCTTTTACTAAGTATGCATGGTGAAGACACGGTACTATCTGCATGTAATATGGCGCCGTTGGCTCTTTTTTTTTAACTCGCAGCAAAAATGGCTCTGGTCTATCCTCGAATATAGCTGTTGAGGAGAAGAATTGGAAAGCCATTTCGGCTGTAAAAGCTCCCAATAAAATGAAAGTTGTCCTATGGCATTTTGCTCAAGATTGTCTTCCATCCGGAGCACAATTACAACGCCAACACATCTCCGATGCTGCGTGTTGTTGTTTCTGTGGTCGACTGGAGAGTGTGGAGCATGCATATCTATTATGTCCGCGTGCAAGGGCTGTATGGGATGTGATCAAGGAGTGGGCAAATATCCAACTATAGCGAGGATTCGTCAGAGTTTCATCAACTACTCGGTAGGTTTTGTCGGCGAGCTTCAACACGTTGCAGCTGTGTCTAGGCCTGGCGTTTGTTAGCTGTTGTAGTTACCTTACTGGAGCTTGCGTGCCAGATTAGTGTGAAATCCATCTAGATCTCACGCCTGGTTGTCAGTGGGTGGTGCAGGCTGGTGGTCGTGGTCGTCGGGTTCAAGGCTTGGGACGTGGTCCATGGCGGTGCGGTGGAGGCTACTGGCGGCGTGCAGTCACTTGGCAGTGGAGCGTCGGTCCATGACAGTCGGCGGGTTAGGTTGCAGGGACGATTGGACGCTTCTAGAGCCCTTCTGCGGCAACATGTGGTGCCCGCTCCGGCATCTCTCTCCGGTGGGTAGGTAGCTGGTGCTCGCCATATGCAGTGATGGGCAGGGAGACATGGTGGGGTGATACGCTATAACTTTTGATTGTTCCATGCTGTTATATTATCAATCTTGAATGTTTTATATTTATTTTATAGTCATTTTATAAAAAAAATGGTACTAACCTATTGATATAGTGCCAAGTGTCAGTTGTTGTTTTTTGCATGTTTTTACATCACAGAAAATCAATACCAAACGGAGTCCAAATGCAACGAAACTTTACAGAGATTTTTTATGGACTAGAAGACACCTAATGGGCCAAGACTGCGCCTGGGGGGTGCTCCGAGGAGAGCACAACCAACCAGGGCGCGCCAAGAGGCCCACGCACGCCCTGGTGGGGTTGTGCCCACCTCGGGTGCCCTCCGGACCGCCTCTTTGCTCTAGAAATACCCCAATATTCCAGAAACCCTAGGGGAGTCGACGAAAATCAATTCCAGCCGCCGCAGAGTCCAGAACCACCAAATCCAATCTAGACACCATCACGGAGGGGTTCACCACTTCCATTGGTGCCTCTCCGATGATGTGTGAGTAATTCTTTTTAGACCTTCAATTCCGTAGTTAGTACCTAGATGGCTTCCTCTCTCGTTTGATTCTCAATACAATGGTCTTTTGGAGATCCATATGATGTAACTCTTTTTGCGGTGTGTTTATTGGGATCGGATGAACTTTGAATTTATGATCAGATCTATCTTTTTATATCCATAAAAGTTATTTGAGTTTCTTTAATCCCTTATATGCATGATTGCATATAGCCTCGTATTTCTTCTCCGGTATTTGGGTTTTGTCTGGCCAACTTGATCTATTTATCTTGCAATGAGAAGAGGTGCTTGTATGATTCGCCCGTTCTTGTAAGCAGTTCTATGATGAAGGATGTCTCTGTTACCACTACAATCTTATGTGTGTCCTTTTATTTACCACAATCTCTAGTGAGAAATGGTGAGCACACAATAAGCTTACTGAAGACCTTGGGCCCTCCCTCTTGTTCCATTTTCCGAACCTGCATACAAAGTGGGAGGAGGACGAGGAGCAGGAGCACGGATGACGAAACAACCTCCTTGAGATTTCCTATCAGGTTAATTATTAGATGGTTGTATAGAAAATTATGCAGAGAAGATATGATTCGACTCAACTCTTACAGTTGTCATCACTTTACATGCATCCCAAGCAAGACGCATATATAAGCAAATCACATCCCACATATAAAACCGAGACTTTTATTCATCACAACAAAGCTAATTAAAAAAGCCAGTTGGGTGGCTTGATAGGATCTTCTAGACAAGAGAAAAGTCTACTAGATCCCTTCCGCTTATTCAAATTGATTGAGAAATACACACCGGAAATAAGAGCATTAGCCGCTAGCTAGTAGCTTAGAGAGGGTGCACGTAGACACCAAGCGCGTCGAGATATATCCCACTGCGTCTGAAGAAGCCCACGATGCTGCTATTCTTTTGCACGGGTATGGTGAAAGTGGTTCCCTTCGCTTGTCCGAAAGGCCCATATGTCTTCACGTTGGTGACAAATTTCAGTGATGTTATTATGTTGTGGTTGTCTCTGCCATAAAGGCCGAATGTTCCGGAAACTTCCTTCACAAACTCAGAAGTGCCGAGTACGGACTGCATTGCACAAGAATAAATAAGTGTTTGTTGCTTACATATGAAACTGAGAAAATCACATAAAATTTCATTAAAAGAGTCCACTGACCATATTTTGTTTTCCTCCAGAACCTCCCCAAGGTCCAACAGCTGACCAGCTTGGTCGACATAAGAAAATTTGATTGAATCAATGATGGTGCCGCTTCTGTGCCTCGACGATGTCTTTATCTGAGCCTCCATTTCCACCCCATGGTCCAACCTTTGTGGGACGGCTCTACAATATGATAAGACAATTATGTGATATTTTCTTGAATAAAAGGGACGCGGACACAAACTAATGAAGATTTAGGTGAAGACAAAAAGTAGTTGTATATGTTGGTTATTCATCTCACCTGTGAACCTTTAAGCATGGGACAAAATCCATGGACAGTGAGCTCTATGATGTTACCGTCGCTCCTTTGCTCATGGAACTTTTTGTAGATGACACCGGTCGTCATAGCGAACTGTCCTGTCCCACCAACAATAGCCCACTCACCTTCTTCAACGGATATCCCCATCACTTGAAGCGTTGATCCCTTAAACCTATATCACGTTCAGATGTGGTTGTTAAAAAATTCAAAAAAATAAAATTCAAAAAAAGATGTGGTTGTTAACTGTATCATGCACTGCAATATACAGTATTACCTAATGATACAATCATCTGTAGTTTAACTAATCAACATGAAGATATATTGCTTCACAAAGATATATATAACCATGTATGAATGCATCTGTGTACGTACCTTTCAACCTCGAATGTTATGCTGAAAGTATTCTGCCAGTTACCGGCATAGATATGCAGGCCTTGTGCACGCGCAACAACGGTGGCGCCGGGGCTAGGGCCATCACATATCGGCCAGTTGTTAACGACGGTCGCACCCAAACCGGTAGTAACATTCGAGTCTACTATGCCTGACTGATTCTGGTTTGAACCAAGGGGAGTGTGGAAAAGGTACAGGCTGCGGAAGTTGAGCTCATTGCTCTCCACGAACGCGGCGCGGGGAGTTATCTGGAAATTGGCCATGGTGACTAGTGAGTTGGGTGGGGCTCTGGTTCAAGGGATGTTGTAGGCTTATGAGATGCTAGTAGATTGTTGTGTGTGAGAACTAGAAGGCTGGGAGTCGTATTTATAGATCGCTAGCTAGGGCCAATGCCAATAGGAGCATGTCTAGGATTAGATGGAGCGAGACATCCCATGATGTTTTGTGCATGTGAGGATCAGCCATGTGCACCACGAAGACGCTAGGATGCATACGAGGACAGAACTGGTGGTGCTGACTCATCCTTGTGCATCACGAGCACCTTTCTCACCGGCAACAGAATCACTCGATCTCAGCTTTGGTGGCAGTAAGGAGTAAAGGCACGTACGGGCAACGCTGCATGCTTTCTTGACTAAGGATGTGCACCTCGTGCATCACGAGCTCATGTGCTCCGTGCTCACAATCAGGATAAGATTTTTCCTCCAAGGCCATCATTAGAATACAACGATCCTTAGGTGCACCTTGTTAGTAATTTGGTACTACCTCCGTTCGAAAATACTTGTCGAAGAAATGGATCCAGAAATACTTGTCGGAGAAATGGATCCCGGACGGAGGCAGTATATATGATTCAGTTTTAAAATGAGATTTCCCTCTGAATGGGAACTTGTGGAATCCTATAGGATGGACCATGAAATGAAGGGCTGAAGTTGATTACTACATGTTCAAGAGAGATAGGGTCGTACATCGCGCCTATTTTGAAACTTCAGAGCCCAGGTGTCTTATAAATTTTTGATTCTGACAAATTATTTTTGAAAAAATTTCAGATGATCATTCAGTACTATTTCTCAATAATAACCTTAATAACTGTAAAACTCACTATCCCTTGATAAATTTTATATTCATAATTCAGCCCGTTTGCGCGTTTTAACATGGCATAATTAGGACAACGTTTGCTATTCGAGACTCGTGCATCACGAGAACCTGTCTAACCGACAAGAGAATCACTGCATCTCAGATCTGGTGGCAGTAAGAAATAAAGGCACGTACGGGTAATGCTGCAAGCGGTGTTGACTGAGGTGTTGACTGAGGACGTGCACCATCTGCATCACGAGCCCTCTCCGCTCAGTGCTCACGGTCAGTACAAGATTCTTTTCAGGGAGGGAATCACTACTGTACAAATGGTGTTGCCGCTAACAAGGAAAACATACTGTTAGGCTTGTCCTACTTTTGTAAGTTGTGGAAATCCGATGGGATGACCATGAAATGAAGGGCTGAAGATGATTACTATTACAGGTTCAAGAGAGATTGGGTCGTGCATCACGCCTTCCCTTTTTTTCCTAGTACTCCCTCCGTAAAGAAATATAAGAACATTCTAATCCCTCCGTAAAGAAATATAAGAACATTTAGGGAGTAGAATATAAAGTGTGAAGTATATATGGTGTGCCTATGTGAGAAAACAACAAAACAAAAATGTATTCTGATAATTATCGATATGTGTATGTGGCATCCTATGTAAGATACTGCTCATGAGAGTATTATGGTTTAGCAAAATAATAGCCCTCTTATGAGTTTAACTACATTTACGAAAATTTCAATTAACAAATTAACTATTTACAATATATGAGAAAGAATTTGCACTCAGCCTACCGGGAATCCAGCTCGGCTCTTATATCGAGAGGTATTCATTTAACATTTTTCCCAAAATGTGCATACATATTTTTCCCATCAAATTCATGTAAAAAATAGAATAAAAAACTATGTTCTAAATATTTTAAATTAAATTATTTTCTTTTTTCATGTAAGTACAAAATATATGCAAGAGAATAGTGTAAATTCACACTCCCTCCGTTCGAAAATATAGTAACTGTGCGCCCCACGGTGGCACCCGGCTTATGTATAAACCATGTGGCAGACGAGGCACTTGGCTTATTGTTCGACGAGATTTTGTCGTAATTTTGTGCTTATCAATTATAAAAATATAGCGTTAATACGTGTGTACAAACAAGTATATGCTAGAAATTAAGATTACTTGGGCACTTCTGTTATCAGACCCCGCGCCCATCATGTTTCCCGGCATGTCTCAGGTTCACAGAAGCTCACGTCCCAGGGAAGACTATAGGAAAAGATCATGAAAGGGCTACCTGACCCAACACAAGTTGGGTTCGGTGTGTAGCCACATGGCAACCCTGGGTCGTGCCACCAAAAGCCCCAAATAAAGTGCCAGAGGGTTTTCTTAGTACACATAGGTGAATGGTTGTCTTCCAAGTTGTGAAGGTGGGCCCCTGAGCAAGTGTGGAAAGTGATCCCCGAAGAAGTGCAAGCAAATCTCCAAAGTGAAAAAATACTCATGAAGTCCAAGGTAATGCAGCCAGCCCATGCAAGCAATCCTCACAATAGAGGAAACCTCAAATTCCAAGAAGCAATCAAAAAGTTCCAAAAGTGCCAAGAAGCAAATCCGGCAATCTTGAGTGGTAGGGGAACCACTGGAAAGAAGGCGGAAGATAGCCATTCACCACCCCTCATTAATGCATGAAGAAAAAAATAGCCAAGTTGTTATCCCAAAACCATCACCCTTATGAACCTCACCTAAGTCTCTGGGCTCTTGAGGCATTGCGTGGGGGGGGGGGCATGATCAAGCTGTGGGGTTTCTCGATACCATGATGGGCTAGGGTATGCTTTTCTACTGCCTGTCAGAGGCATCTCTGAAGCACGGTGTCCCCATACACATAAACTAAAGCTTATTCAGTTCTTAACTTGCTGATGGTCGTTTCGACAGTCCCCAATGATAAGCCCTTTGGTAGCCTTTATTGATGACACATTATAGCTAGTGATTGTCAGGAGGGCCAACATCTTCATCCAATCTAAGAAATACTTCATTTTTTATGACATTACATTCCATAAATATGCTTGCATGCACTCTTTTGTTCATCATCAGTGCAGCCATCACTAGTTAATGGCGCACACGTTGAGCCTGCACCGACAGGATGGCTACTTGGACAGCAACAAAACTGTGTCATGATAATGTCGATGACATCCTGACATTTGATTGTCTACCCCAATATACGGCAGACACTGGGGCAGCGAACCCGTGTGTCCACAATGTCGTCGACAACATACTCCATCAACATTGGGGGCAATTGCATCAGTTCATCCAAGACGTCGCCGACGGCGTCTTGGCTTCACCAACCTACTCCATCGACATTGGGGGTTAACACTCATGTGTTCACGGGGTCGTCGATGACATCCCGACATAGAGCTTTCTACACCAACACATGCCATCGGCACTGGGGGCAGCGAACCCGTGTGTCCGTGACATCGCCGACGACATCTCGGCATCGAATAATCTACACCAACAAACTTCATCAACACTAGGGGCAGCAACACCAGTGCGTCTATTACATCGCTGATGATATTCCGGCACACTGTTGGTCTACATCAACATATGTTGTTAGCACTAGTAGCAGCAACACCCATGCACCTACACCACCGCCGTGGCACTCCGGCACCCTTATCTTCAACAACAACGAAGCGAGTTGAAGTATATTCCGGCACTCTCTGTTCTGATCACGCTGATGGGATTCCGGTGTAGAATTTTTTTCTACCTCGGCCACAACGTCTTGGTGTTACCTCGATGATTACGAGGTGACCCACCAATGGCTTTCTAGTATCTCATCTACATCAACGTGTCAACTTCACGGGAGCAGTGCAACGCGCCAGTGCGGCCAGCGTGAATCTATGAAACCCTTCAATTTAGCCGGGTGGCACCGCGACAGTTGCGGTCGCGGCTAGATTGATAAATTTACTTCAGGGCACAGCATGGTATTTTGCCGTCAAATGAAAAAAAAGAGGTTGTATTGTTGGCTGGTACCATAGCTGCTACATGGTCACAACAAGTTTCCTCGTCATGTAAGTGAATTCGCTTGCACTATTCTTAATGCATGACTGCGACATAGTCTCATCTTTATGTCCGAAGATCCACTTCCTCGGCTATAATTTGGGGGAGTACCTAGAACTCACCTAGATGAGATATAATTTGGTCTCATTCACTTGGAAAATAAGAACATATAACATTCACGTCAGCACACACGCATCTTATAGCATCTTATAGCATCACATACAATGGCTATAAAAGATGAATGAGACCAAATTATATCTCATTTAGATGAGTTCTAGCAAAACTGATAATTTGGAGTGCCTCCTAGGTGTTCTAATTAATGCTGAGTGATGGGTGCACCGCACCAACACACGCGCCCATCGCCAATGTGGCCGCTAAGACGCGCCCTTGCCACTGATACCTTCGGACGCCACAGGGCTGTCAAGAGAAGGACCTCAGGATACATGTGTACATGGCCTCATTGTATGCAGACATTTCCTTCTTGTATGAGTTGAAGAGAAGTTGGGACGTGCACGTACCTCGTGCGCACAAGCAAGTTCTGACTTCATTAATCATGATAGCAATCTCAAGATAATCCAGCTGCTCTCGTGGTAACTAGTACAAGCACATGTGGTGGGAATTCTACGACTAACTTCGATGCTATCTCGCCACCAGGGCTGCTGATCTACTCGGGCGCAATGGTTGTTGCGGCCGCCGCCAGCCAAGCACACTCGCTGGCGCGGCGCTGTGCAACATCAGTATTTTACCTTCGTTGCCCTGATGAAGAGATACATATACCTGCTCCTGCACGCCTCATGGTCCTCCGCCTTGATGATGGAACAAACAGCAGGAAGCATTGAGGGAAGTTAATCATAGTTCTCTGCATGCACACGTACATTTTTTTTTTTGAGGGAACATGCACACGTACATGATATGATGAAAATCCCATGCGTGCATGCGGCTACTAGCTAGCTAAGTAAGTAGAGGGGCTAGTTGGCTTAGATTACCGGTGCAGGCCCATCAGGCCAGGCCGAACGTGCCAGCCGTGACCATGCGCAGATCTAGCTGCTGCACCGCACGCACAAAGGATAAGTCTCAAAGAGATAACGTTCTTATCATCTCCATGAGAATAGCACCTGCCGAACAAGTCCTCCGCAGCGTCCGCGCATCTCATAGCTATCCATTGCCATGACGCTGGCCTATATAAAGGCTGAGGCAGCAGCCACGAAGAGGGGAGGGGGGGAGCCGTACCAGAGAATACGCCCCGGGAAAACACATACACAAGAAAAACCATAAAGAGAAGGAAAAGAGCCACGTGCCCACGGTGGCGGCGAGTACGGCGGCCTTGTTCGGCGGTGCACGTGCACCAGACCGGCGAGAGGATGCCGCGGCGGCGGCGGCGGCAGCAGCGACACCCGTCCAAGCTCCAAGATGCGACGGTAAGACCGCTGCGTCAAGTCAAGCTAGCTCTTCACATGAGCGTTTGATCGAAGACATCTTGCGTTGCATGGCACATGCATATAAGGGCACAAGTACAATTCCTTTTCTAATGATTCTTCTTTTATTCTCAATTAGCAAATGTCAAAGATGGAGATTTGAAGGCCATCACGAGATCACATCCAGGAGGGCGAGGAGACGCGCCCACGGCGGCAGCATCGACGAGGAGGCGCCCAGCAGAGACACGCACGGAGAGACGCGCCCACGGTGGCGGCGGCCAGCAGATGGACGGAGGAGCCTACAGAGGAGGCCCCGCTGCGCCCTTGCGATGAGAGAAGGAAAGCGGCGGCGACGGTGGCGGATGACGCGCCGACTTCGGTTGCACCAGCGCATGGACCAGAAGCAACCGGTAGCCGTATGGCACACCGGGACAGCACAAGGAGGAGGCTGCGGCCTACACGCGCCGACGCACAAACGTCCAGCAAAAGCCTCATGCCATTTCCATGGCGTCGATGAGATGCTCGGTGGCAACGACGTCGAGACTCGTACCAACAAGCCCTAAAAGCATCTCCAACAGGCGCCGGTCGTGCCACGCGCAAAATACAAATATGCCGCGCGCGCATCGGCTGGTTTGGCGCGGCGCGCAGCGCTAGCTCAAGCGGCCGTGCTAAAATGCAGCGCGCGCGCGTGGCTCCAGCAGCGCGTCAAAATGCACCGTGCGCGACTCGCAGGTGCATTGCATATGCTATTTTTTAACACAAAATGATGAATATTTTCAACATAATAAAAATTTCACACAAACAAGTTGATGAAGTTCATGCCCACAAGTTTAAAATCATGCCCATAAGTTCATCCAACCAAGTTCAAAATGCAAATCAAGTTCAATACACAAAGGAAAGACACATCATTCCTCGTCCTTGTCCTCGTCTTCGTCCTCGTCCTCATCTTCGGAAGACGATTCTTCCGCCTCCGAAGATGAATCTTCCTCCCTCTCCTCATCGCGCACCGCATCACGTGAAGCTCCGATGGTGTTGGCAAGATCTTCAACGGCATCTTCATGGGAATGTGTGCGAGGAGGCTCATCAAAAGACATTCCGCCCATGGCGGCCGGAGGTGCACCCATGCCTCCCATGAGAGAA